TCTGTATTGTTACAATCACTACTAGAGCCTTCGTCGTCATTTTCACTTTCAAAAACAGCATCATCTTCCGTGCCGTCTAGTTCGTTGCTAATACAACATTTTTTAAATGATTGTATAATAATTTCAGAGGGACTCTGTAATTAGTTCGTCACATAATTTAAGTCATGAAATTACTTCAAGTAAGCGACTTATTTGATAAGTCGTCCAATTTGAGTGCGGGAAGAAAACAACTGCATTATATAAAGAAATTTTTGAACTTCCGATTCTTTTAATTTTTTATGGCCCCGCGTATAAGTCGACCCCCTCACTTTGAAGTCTTTTTATTTTTGTCCAAAATATCTCGACTTATACGCGGGTATATACGGTATACTAAAGTTCTTCAAAATAATATGCATACAAAAATCGATGAAAGGAAACTTAAAAAAGTCAAGAATACGTGATGGAAAAGATATGAGTATGTAAATGACATTGTTTTATTTTATAAAAATAGTGTACTAAATATGATGCAGTTCAAATATATTTTCAATAATGTATCTTTTACATTTAAATTTATTAATGCTTTTTGCTCTGTTTCCTTATTATTTGAATAATACTTCATAATTTTCAAAATAAATTATCAATTGCAATTAATTATTGCATCTTCAGTACAACTTGCACAGTATTTGCTAATTAGACAGAAATGATGGTTTGTTCTATGTATAGTTGTTTTGAGATTTTCGTTGGCAAATTTATTGATTTTACGCTTTTGTGAAACATTTTATGGATGGCTTTTATTTGCAAATATATTATTTATTATGCATCTACTATAAGTAATAATGTAAATATTATTAAATGACGTAAATATTATTATAATTATTGCTATAGATAACATATAAATATGTGAAAATTATTCGTTTTCTGTAATGTTGCAGGAAAATTGTAATTTATTTAATTTACAAAGTTTTGAGGTTTAAATTTTTTCTGTGGCTTTTGAACTGCTTTTCATTTTATTAGATAGTAATTTAAATGAATTAAAAATGTATTTGCATAGTGTTTGGAAGCCCTGAAATATTTATAGTTTCAAGGAAAAATAATTTTTTATGTCTTTTAATTTGCTAAATTATATTTACTTTTGTTAGTTTCTAAATCTTTATATTTCTAAATCTTTTCTTTCCTCTCCTTCTCCAACTGTAAAGACATTTTTATGTTAATAAATAACAGCCTTTTTATTTCCTTATTTCAAAACCTTCTTTTTTGAGTGTATCCTAACAAATTATTACAATACAGTGTAAAAAAAATGCACAAGATAACCTAAAACATGGCATAGAAAATTTCGTGAATATTTCTTAAAAAATAATATTTATTAAGTTATTAATCTTAACTGCAAATGAATATACGACCTTTTATATACGTTTTCCCGTCAAGTCTCTGGAAATTTAATCATTATGCATTATTAAAAACAAAACACTCTAAACATCGAACGAAACGCTCGCATTCAAATCTGAAGCAAAGAAAGTCACGGAAGGACCGGACGCCTTTCGTGACGTCACTCGCAGCTAACCAGGCCATGTTATCTCGAAGGCCACGCCTAAACTCGCCATCTTGGATCCCATGATACCGGGACATGACATCCCAACACATCATCTTGGATCTACCCGGAAGTGATGTAAACATATTGCATGGCAGCATTTTCCAAAGTTTCTTTAAATTTTGTGACAGACAGGATTTTTTCGAGGATTCGTTTTAATGGCAATGATCTCAATTTAATTTTTTTAATTATAAATAAATTTATTATTCACAATTATTTAATTTGCAATTGATTTTAATTGATAGATTTATTTTTAATTGAAAATCTCATAGAATAATTAATAGTATTAATATATTAATTTATTTTCAGTTAATTTCGTTATTTATTTTAATAACAGTATTTTTTGAATTAATTTTAAAAATCTGGAATCGAACCCGCTATCTCAGATTTACCAGCCATTCAACAAAGCCGCTGAAAGACACTTATAAATCTGTCTTTGAACTTAACTAAAAGGGCCTAATAGCGGCCGAGTGATTAAAGCTCCTGAACACTGGTAGTTCGTCCGGGGCTCGATTCCCGGTGAACGACCGTTTTCGTGGTTTTCCCAGTGTGTAACAAGAATACGAGCCAGTTTTCCTTAGAAGGTTCTTCACGGGAATCCGTCTTTTACCGTGTAGTGAGTAATGGCGTGGCACATGATAGAATTAAAGCCTTTGTCTGCCAAGGAAAACCCCCATGATATCACTGCTTGGAGGAAACGTTAACGACGGAAAAACGTTATCTTTGTTCCAACGTACAAACGTCTGTCCATCCATTTCACCTCTTTGTAAGGAAATTTGCTAAAGGACCAATCAAAATCTTCTTCAATCAAATCTAAATGTTCTTAAAAACCAATCAGCCTTTTCTTAACAATTTCCTTTCTACTAATTCAGAAGTCAAACCACAAAAATCACCGTTATATTTTCAAAAAAATTCACTGGACTAGTTTCAATGGTTTTACCAAATCACCATCCTCAGCTGCAAAACCTAGCTGAGGATGGTGGTTCAGTAAAACCATCGAAACTAGTCCTGTGAAAATTTTTGAAGATATAACGCTAATTTTTGTTGTTTGACTTCTGAATTAGTATTTGTTCGGCGTGTTATTGTGTCTTAACTTCCTTTGTACTTTAACCAATTAGGGTACTTGTTTACTGAAATGTTACAGATTTCTTACGGCTTTTTAAAGGCATTACTGCCGCTTAACTGGGATAATTATATAAACTGGGATAGTGATTAGTGAATCTGACTGCCGTAATGAACGGTGCTGGTTTGAATTCCGGAGAAGTCATGGATGTTTGTAAATGTATAGTGTCTATGCATTGTAAGGCACTCTAAGTATGCGGCGAGCAGACTGTCCCCTCGAGAGGTTCACGGTGGCGGTAGGAAAAGAGGGGTGGAAGACCTGCCCCCCCCGGTGTGTGCTCCTTCAAAAAATGAAGGCAATTGCCAATCTTGTCTGCTTGTCACGATAAATTCCGTCGGCTTGCTCTGGTATCAGACAAGCGAGATTAGTCACAACAGCGGCAGCACCAGTAATTAATTTTAAATTTATTCTTTGTATATTCTCACAGTTTTAGTTCTAACATTGTACTTTTCCAAAATTGTATTTGCTCTTTCAACACTTTCTTTATGTCATAAACTTTGTTCACTATTTCTTTTCTTGCAAAAGCAGATTTATCTTTTGCATTTTTATACCATTTCCCTTTTTTTTTTATTTAATTTGTTTCCTTATTTATTTACAAAAAATTTTTAATCCTTCTCTTTTTTATTTATTTTTCGCTTTTTATTTATTTATTTTACGTCTCTTTTTATACTTCCTTGCACGAAGTAAAAAGGAAGTATTGTAATCGCGAAAAGTTTCAGGCAGCATATTTCAACGAAAATATCCATTTTGACCGCTATCGAAACCAAACGTATATAAACCAAACGTATATAAATATATTTATATATATATCCACTCTGTTACCCGGCTCAGTGATCTCAGTTTCTTTACTCTTATATGTTTGTAAATTGTACATTTTTTGCTTTAAAAATGATTGAATTATGTTGTTTTTATCTTCCGGTTAAGGTTTTTATGCCTTTAGTAAATCTGTACGCAATATTTTTAGAATTATCAACAATTTTAAAGTTGTCTAAGTGCCGCTAAGCCTTTTTTTTATGGCGGCCATTGATGTTTACATTTGAAACAGGAGACTAGTGGATTTGTTACCAATCTAGAGAAACTTGGCTTCGCAACAACAAAAATAACGCATTCATTTATTATTGCCGATTAAATCATGCTTAATTCTTTCTGGAATTTTTTCGAGGAAATAAGTGTTTAAGATTTACTTCGTAATTTTTAATATAGATATTTTGAGTGTATTTTTGCCTTCTCGCGAAGTGAGAACTGAATTAATTAAATGAGAAATACTCAATCGTCTGTGAAAAACTGTTTCTTTTTTGTTTTGTTTGCTTAATTTCTTTTATACATCATTCTAGATTATTATAGTATTGAATAGAACATGTGGCAACGATTAGATAATTCTATTCTTTAAATGATACAAATTTTGTGCATTATGAGTTATAATATGAACGAAATATATAAGTTAACTGTATATAATTATTATATTATATAACAGTTAACTTAGTTTCCGTTATATAATTATTATATAAGTTAACTGTTATATAATTATTAATACTGTTAAGGGAATCTAGCGCCAGAGTGTCGCTATGGTAAACAAATACTAGAATGAATTTTAAAGAATGCATTTATTCTATTGTGGTTTATGCGCTGTCAGCGAAGTAGATTGAATTCAATCCAAATTAAAAGAAATGCAAGAAAAAATGCGTATAATTTAATGAATTTAATTTGTGAAAGACTATGTTAATATCCTTTGCTATTACATAGTGATTAAAAGTAATATATTTGTGCGGACTTTGTAATTGAGAATTCCATTTGGTTTATGAATTCAAATTTTGATAAGCAAATGAATTGAAAAAAAATCAGTGTCTAATGAATGTATGGCTAGTAGGATTTCTAACTACAGCGTGGATTTAAATATATGTATTAGAAAATGCATCCTCTTTAAAAATGTATTAAATGTTATTTGATTTTTACAACTACATTTGCTATTACATGAAAATTTATGTAAAAGTTTATTTTTGACAGATAAAATCAATATCAGTCAAATAACAAGAAAATAAGTTTTTCATTATTTTTTGTACACATTTTTGGGAGGAGAAACCCATTAACTATGAACATTAGTTTATTATTTATTATTTTTTTGATGAAATGTTAATAATTCTGTTATATAAGTACATTCCCATTTAATCATGCGTGTGAAGGAATATAATGATCCGCAATTAAGCATATCCAAAATGCAGTTATTTCTACACATATAAAAATTTAAGGGATTAAAAGTATTATTTCCTTCTTCCTCTTCCCTTCCAAAGCCTTTCTTGATTTTGATTGCAGCTAATCTTGCAAAACCTCGGCAATTGCTTATTCCCTTTTGCTGGAAGAAGGAAGTCCTGTTCCTATCAAAGAACATTGTTCCTACCTCTATGCTCCATTCCAAGCGAAGATTCCTTTTAGCCAATCAGAACGAAAGGTATGTTTTACATTCAGAAGGAATGAATTTTACCCAATCAGAGCAAACTACAGATCTACCAATGCGTTGTAAGTCTGCAGCGACCTCATCCCCCTTCATTTATCGTAGTGCAATCGCTATAGTGTGTAGCAAGTGAAGCAAATTAACTCCTGTGGCTATACCTGAACTTTGGTGAGTTTCTAATAATTTTAATAATCTAAAATAATTTTATTCGCAAATGTGTAACAATAAATATTCTAAATAAGGTTTTATTTTACATACTGAGTTAGATTTTTTTTTATGTTTTGTCAGCGATTTATTGTAGACATCGTTAATTCACGCCGATTTCTCTCTTAACCCTGAATGATAATAATCTAAGTTTTACAAGATATGTGTTTTTTAAAATAAAGACATATATATTTCGTTACGTTAATATTCTAAATATTTCTAAATTTAATTAAAAGTTTTCAGTTTGCTAATCTTTTTATGCTTGTTTGTTTATCTTTCTAACCTAAGTTCCTTCTAGTTTGCTAATGTTTTTATATATAAACATAAGATTTACTTTTTTTCTATATTTTTAAGTTTTACATTCTTTTCCCCTACGTTTAGCTTGCAAAACTAATAGATTTTATAAAAGAATTAGGTTTTCACAATTTTAATTTTTTTTTTTTTTTTTTTTTTTTAATTTTACAAAAGGATTTTTTTTTTTCCCCTTCAGTTTAATCTTTCCTTTCCATGTTTTACATTTTTCACTTTATCTGTTTTACAAAAGCTGTACTTATTTTCATACGATTTTTTCTTTCTTTTTTACGAACTCAGTATTTTTTCTATATTTTACTTCAAGAAGTAATTTTTAATTTTTCTTTTATATAAAAGTATTTTTTTTTAAATTCTTTGAAGAATTATCTTCTCTCATTTCATTTTTCTTCCTTTTATTTTCCTCTTAAGGTTTTTCTTAATGTTTTAAATACTTATTGATGTTACACCTCCATTTCTCGAAGCGTAAAGTTACATATATATTTCTCTGTCTATGAAATTTAAGCTGGAACTTACACGCATATAATTTCCCTCTAGAGGCTTTCATGTATAATATTTTCCGTAAATTTAAACCAAGAAGTACGATATTCCTTCCATATAGCTTACTTAGCATATTATATTTCTTATTATTTTTTTACGCTACTAATACTTAAGATATGCAAAACATTCTCTTCTAATGTATCACACCATACTACTAACACTTAACGGGTGATACTCCGAACTTTCTCTTCTAACGTATTATTCTAACTTTTTGAAACACTATACAAAAAAGTCGGGGATTCTCTTTTACACATCTCACTTTTGTTCAAAGGATTCACGAAATGTGTCAAACAAATGTAAATTTTTAACTTTCTATTTTCCGTTTAGACATATTGCCTTACATTTAACCTTTATCATGTTTTTAAAACATATCTCTGTTAATATTGATTCTTTTTTTTATTATTATTTATTTATTTATTTTCCCTAAAAATAAATACAGACTTATACGGATTTTTTAAAGATCTACTGACTTTGAATTAAACCTTCTAATTTAGAAATAATAAATTTTAACAACATAAAATCTACTTGAATTAATGTATGGACATCTCTAGCCAGTTTAGTTCAAATACATACGAAACAATATGAAATTTCTTATTATTGTCTACCCCAGTTTAATACGTACCAACAGCATTTCATTTCCTATTATTTTACACTACAGACATTTACATGAATATATTCAGAACACTCCTTTTTATTGAGCAGGAGGTTTCAGATATATTACTAACACAGATTGACTCTTTGAAATATTTTACAAAAATATCTTGGATTTTCTTGTGTACAGTGGCGTAGCGAGAGGGGGGCAAGGGGGTGCATGATGCCCCGGGCGCCGCTCGTACAGGGGCGCCAAATGGTCTCCAAACAAGATTTTCCGGAAAATTTCAGTTTTTATTTTGATCGATTTCTGGAAAATATATTTAAAATTAATAACTATTGTAATATAATTAATTATTTATTTTCTTGATTTGTGTATAAAAATGCTTGCAGTACATCAACCAAAACGTTCTTTCTGACCACTTTATTTCTCCAAAGTAGAGATATATATTTAAACGAAATGCACGTATATCTCTCGCTTTTTATTTTAAAACGATAACACGACCTTGTCCCGAATTTCTCAAATATATCCAGTTTCCAAATTCCGATTCCATAATCTGGAAATGACATTTTTGAGATTTCGTAACGCTTCCGCTACAATGGATTGCGTTTGACTCTCCTGTAAACGTCTGATGGCCTTCCTGGCTACTGATTCAACTAAGTCATCTTGCTGAGATGTCGTATATTCACTGCTACGAAGCATTCAACGCATGTGAATTGTTTTTAATCTTCTATTACAAAAGGAATACTGCAGGTCGTTCCTTACTCCTTATCTAAAACGCATAGTTTTCGACGTCACAGACTAAATTTGCATATTCCCAACTTTGTAAACGTTATAATTTTCCTTTATAATCTCTTCTATTTTCTTTGTTCAAAAATGTTATCGATTATATGGTTATTCATACCGAACCCACAATACACCCTAATTGTTTTGAGCAGTGAATGTGACTGCATGACGTTACTCCGTAGTAGAAAAGAAACAGAACCTAAAACTCCACTGCAGATCTATAGGGGAATATGTTTTTCCAAACCTAAGAGTCGCACTTTAAATACTAACTTACTATGAACGTTCGTTCAGCAAATTAAAATAAATTTTCACATATTTACAATCAACGGTGGGACAAGATCCCCTAAGTCATCTAGCATTTTTAAGTGTGGAAAGAGAAAAATTTGAAAGGATCTACTTTGATGAAGTAAATGATAAATTTGCTTCTAAATTTTCAAGGTAAGAAAAATGTATATACATAATAATTAATTTATTCATGTATTATATTATTATTAATAAATATAAGAGCCCGACCAAGTCGAGGTGCACGTGATTGAAGCGAGATGAGGACAAATTAAAATTTTTAAGTTGGCTGGTGGTGTGTCTGACAATTTGAGATCTTTGGCACTCCAAGCATGATGGTGTCCAGTTGGCTATGTCCTTTTGCATGCTATTCCATACGAAACTTTGCTATATCAGTTTCCTTGAAGCCTTGATGCCAGGATGTGACAGACGATGTAACTGACTAAAAATGGCATGGCGAAACACGGAGGGTAACATAAGGTCGAAATCTTGAATCCTGAACATCACAATAAAGTGATTTTCCAGGTGACAGCTGCATAGGCTGCAAGTTGAGATTGGTGGAAGATTTGCTTTTCAAGAGGGTTTTGTAGTTCTGAATCCCGGTGTTGTTCATCCGCAAGGGCAGCAAAGTTTATTGGCGAAGGAACGGCTAGTTCTTCAATACGAGACAAGATGTCTGCTACAATATTCTACGAACCCGCAATATAACGGATATCTGTTGAAAATTGCCCTATGAAGTCTAGGTGTCTCATTTGACGAGGAGAAGCTTTATCCGAACGCTGCTGAAAAGTATAGATTAAGGATTTGTGATCTGTGAAGATCATGAAAAAAGCGTCCCTATAGCATATGCCGATAATATTTGACAGCTTCATAAATTTCCTAATAATTCGCGATCGTAAGTGCTGTATCTGGTTTGTGCTAGTGAGAGGTTTTTAGAAAAAATATGAAAGTGGTTTCCATAATTCTTGACCTTTTTGTTTTAAAAGTGCTCCTATACCTGTCGTTGATGCGTCAACGTGTAGAGATATTAGGTTATTTTTTGGAAGCAGAAGAGATGAAAAAAATATGCAACGCCTTCGCCGGGAATCGAAACGCGGACCTCTGGAGTACTGGCCCAGCGTGCAGAACCATTACACCATGAAGGCACGCTAGGAAAGCGGGAGAAATACCTTATAAACTCCCCTTTTTAAAGGGCGACTGGGGTTTTTAGGGGCCGCAATCGCCAAATCCTGGGTGTGGAGAATCCTCATTTAACACCCCTTTTATTTTGGGCGCCACTGTAGAGACATTAGGTTATTTGGAAGCAAGAGAGACTGAAAAAATAGCAATCGCCTTCGCCGGGGGAATCAAACCGCGGACCTCTGGAGTACCGGCCCAGCGTGTAGAACCACTACACCACGAAAGCATGCTAGGAAATCGGGAGTCCCTCTCCTTATAAACATAGAGTGATAATTGTTTAGATGCGGAAGGATACTGCAAATTTGTTGCCGATATTAAATCATTTTTGCATTTTTTAACGCTTCGCGAGATTCTGCGGTCCAGGTTATAACACGTTTATCGTTTTTCTTGATTCCAACCAAAAAGGAATTTAGAGGTGCTTGTATGGTTGCTGCAAACGTCGATAAAAATTGAGCATAGCAAGAAATCTTCTTAAGTCGTAAGTCCTTCACTGTAGATGGTTCGGGCATATCGCGGATAGCGGTGACTCTATCTGGAAGGGGTCGAATCTCATCAGAGGAAATTTCATGACCAGAAAGGATACTCTTGACTGGCCAAAAACGCATTTGGAAGGATTAAGACTGACACCGTACCTTTGAAAACGTTCAAAACTGTTCTCAAACGTGAAAGGTGTTCTTGCTCTGAAGAGGAGGCGATTAAGACGTCATCAAAATAAGGTACACATTTTAAGTCATAAGTCGAGGCCGATTAGCACACCTGATTCATGAAGCGTTGGAATGTTTGAGCAGCATTGCATAAGCCGAAGTCATGACCGGAAACTCAAAATAGTCCAAAAGGCGTAATAACCACAACAGTTTTTGGAATATCAGCTGGGCTTAACGGGCACTTTGTGATACACCTGCTCAAGATTAATGGCTGTAAAAATAGCTTTTCACTCGAAAACTTGCATACAGCCTTGAATGTGAGGGATTGGGTAACGATCAGGAATTGTAGCTGCATTTAAAACCGGCGATAATTGCCACACGGGCGCCAGTTACCATTTCGTTTCCGAACTAGATGGAGCGGACTGACCCTAGACTTTTTGAAGGACGGCAAATCCCTGTTCCATCATGTATTGAAGTTCCTCTTTGGCGGCTTTAAGCTTGTCCAGAGTTAAGCGTCTTCGTTTAGCGGCAATCGGAGGTCCGGTAGTTTCAATATAATGTAATACATCCTGCTTGGGTTCGGAAATACCCATAACTGGG